AAACCCCAAACAACAAGACCCCTTTCAATTAATTAAATACTCAACATGAAACAAAGACATTGCTACATGCTCAATGAGGTAATAAGTCTGCTTCTCCCTTTGTAAATAAGGATTAGGAGAAACTAGCTAAAAGGATAAGAAAGGATTTCCACTACTCAGGATTGCTTTCACGTGGCTGAATTATACAGAGGAATCACAATGGAAAGCCCAAAACTTGCTCTTCTTTCACCAGTGGACAAATTCACTCATTTCAATGGAGCAGACAAAAATGGAAGTCACATTCCAGTAGCCAGTAAAGCAGTCCTACAGTCTTTAACCTCTCTAAGCTGCAAAAAGAAAAGAGAAAAGTTGTTCTGCTAAGCTACCAAATGAAAACTGAGCTTCCAGTTAACAACCACAAGATAATGGTATCTGTAAACCAGAACCTCATCTTGGTACTGTATCAAATATACATACTATATGAAAGGTTAACACAAACCCCACATCACTGAATCTAGTGAACAGCATATGACAAATCATATTGTTCCAAAGGCAACACACCATTTGGTTGAAACATTTGGACCGCCAAGAGTCAGCTATCTCACATGGAAATTAAATACAAAGTCCTGCCTGCCCTGAGGTAGGGCACAGACACAATGTATGTGAGAAACAAAGGAAGGTACATGAAAAGTGGTATTACTTCCCCTACTACTGCAGTACACTGAAAATTCAAAAACCAATACAGGAAGCATAATAAAAATAAATGAGAGAACACTAAAATGACTGAATTAACCTTTGTCACGTTTGATTCAATAAAGCTTCCTCTTTAGAAGCTACCTAAAGCTGCTGGAGAAGTTCCAATTTATCGCAGAACTCAGCATCAAAATGATACTGGCAGTAGAGAAATATTTTAAAATATTCCTGTCCCATATATACTGCAATTACCTTTCCTCCCTTTTAGGATCATTAATCAAGATAGAAAAATCAAATGCCACTTTTGCAGCACCTGCCTTTCCTGAAAGATAATTTCAGTTATATCACAACAGCCTTGGTTGCTTTTTGACTAAAGAACTGTTCAGTTTGAGTCCTGAAACAGAAAATACCTTTTTTACTCACAAACATACTCCAGATAAATGTGATTCGTAGTCCTTTATAAAACGTTTCCCCTTGCCAGAAAAAAAACCAAACAACAAAATAACAGGAAAAGTGTCCCCAGATGGATTACAGAATAGCAAATGGGCCTCAATGGCATTTTTATTGTTGTTATTATTGCTTGACAGAGTGAAAATAGAGGTGTCTTCAAAGGTGTCTTTCCCTGGAACGAAAAACTCAGCATAAAAAGAATTTATATGCTGAAAAGGTTACAGTCAATGTATTACAACTGTATATACGCTATCTCTTCATTTACAATGCTCTGCCTTTCCCAAGAAAGCTTAGGTTGTAAATTTTTTAGACTTCTACAGCACCTTGCCCAATGGGGTCTAGAATGGAGAGTTTGGATGTCCCTTTAAGGATGAGCAACCAGAATTACACAACTGGGTTTTGCTGTTGCTTGCAGGAAAAATTATTTCTGCCTTCCTGCAAAGCCAAGAGGTAAAGCTGAATATTGCACCTTTAGGTGCAGGAGGCAGCCTAGGGCTGTCCTCTCTTCTTTTGAGTAGTATCTGCCAGGGCTAGAGAGAGAAAAGGACAAATTCCTGAGCATGTCTTCGCTTTCCCACACTCTGACAAGGAGGTTGCATCTTCTTAGAATCATAGAATCACAGAGTGGTTTGGGTTGGAAGGGACCTTAAAGCTCATCCAGTTCCAACCCTCTGCCATGAACAGGGACATCTTCCACTACATCAGGTTGCTCCAAGCCCCGTCCAACCTGGCCTTGAACACTGCCAGGGATGGGGCAGCCACAGCTTCTCTGGGCAATCTGTGCCAGTGTCTCACCACCCTCACAGTGAAGAATTTATTCCTAATATCTAACCTAAATCTACCTTCTTTCAGTTTAGCGAGATTTGTGTTCCTATTACCCTCCTTCTAAGCAGGGTCCTATCTCTCAAACTGAACCTCCAGATGATCTCCATGATGTCACCTTTATCCGATGGAAGATGGAGCATCCATTTGCCTTCCAATAGCTGCTCTACACTACCTGTCTCTCCCCTTAACAATAAAGTTTTGAGTGGAGCACCAGTTTGCCGAGGTAATGGGTTTTCACAGCCAGGGGAAGGTGAGTGCCAAGGATTATTAATAGTGTTCCTCGATCAGTTAAGGGAAAGATAAATGTGACACCAGCAATCAAAATCCCTGAATATCTGATATCAGTGAGGAGTGGGTATCACCCGCCAAAAATAGAAAGAGGGAGAGAGATTATATAAGAGGGGTCCTACTTCGAGTTCCACCTATTTTTGACCACCTCCGCATCTAACACCCTTTCCAAGAGTGCTTAGGAGAGACCCAAGAGGTAAGTACCAAGAAAATGTTCCAGCTTTCCACAGCACAGGTGGCTTCGCCCGCTCCCGGCAGGAACTCAGGACCTTCTCCCGAAGGAAAGCAGACATGGATATTTCTCACCACTCGGACTCTATCCCCCTTCCCACAAACAAAAGACCGGAGACAAAGAGGTGAAAATCTCTCAAACACCGAGGAATGGCTTCCCGCAGAGACGACTCCAAACGAGAAGAAAGGGCCATTAAGAGGAGGGAATAGATAAACGTGTGGAGGGGGGCTGAGGAGAAAAGGGATGGGGGGGGGGGGGGGGAGGAGGAAGTGAGAGAATGGAAATAACAAAACAGAGAAGGAAAGAAAGTGAAGGAGAACGTGAGTAAGGACTCGGATAACAATTTACCGAAGTGCTCAGTTGTGAACCAAAGGCAAAACCCCCTCCTTAACATGTCACAGAAAGGACATCTCTATGCACAGACAGCTGATTGAAGTTTCCCTCTCTGGTGCGGTCATTAGGAAGATAAATGTGTCACACTTTTTGTAAAGGATCCCCTGCTTTCTGCTTCAGCTTTTGGCGTGGAGGCTTCTTGTTGCTAATCAAAGTCTCCCTGAATTGCTTGCTTGTGGCAAGAGCGGGTTGATGTCTACTTCATGTACTTGATCGTTTACTTAGCAAGAATATAATCGTCCTGGCGCTGGTGGAAGGGGGAGCTGATCTATACAAAAGCTTCTGTGCAGACAACTTGGATCTTGCAAGTAGTTCGAGCAGGAAAATTGTCAAAATCTCAGAAAGAAAAGGGTGTAATTCATTTCACAGGGATGATAAGGGTGTAGGGCCGAGTGTGAGACTGCCAGCTCGTGAAACGGTTTTTATATTAGAATAACAGGTTTGAGTAAAGCTTGATGGGTAAAAGCCCCTAGAAGTTTGCTAGCTGTCCTTAAAACAGATGCACTGTTGAGATTAGAGACGGGCCTCAGCCACTCCTCCGTGTCAAAGGCTTCGCAACCGGAGCGGGGCCGGCACCGGGATGCGGCTCACCGGCTGCGGGGTGGGGGAAGGCGGGAAGGTTCCCCTTGGTGGCTCCGTGGCTCGAGGAACAAGGATACCTCAGCAATGAGCTAAGGAAAGGTTCGTCAGAACGAAAAGAAGCTGCGGGGGGGTGAGGCCCAGCTCCGCCACAGACTGCACCGGTGTGGACTCGGCCAGGCGGGAGGAGGTGTCCCGAACAGAATACAGGAGGACTCCCTCCTCTCCCTCCCGCCAGCTAAGGAAAAGTAAAGGGATAAAGGGATATCAACTGCATAAAATCACACATCGATTTATCTTGTAAATAGCTGTGTATTGATGGGTCTACATTTAACCTAAGCGTAAAACAGACTAACGATTGGGTTTTAACCTGTGCTACACGGGAGATTTTTAACACCCTCCTCCGAGTGGAGCCCCACTGAAGCAAGAGACCTGAGTAACCTGGGTACCGCCTTCACTGCACCTCCCACCTCCAGGACACCGGTGGGAGCACGGAACCCTTCTGCCTGTGCCCAGTCAGCATCCTGCTGTGTGTCCCTACAGCGGTGTGTCCCTGGTCAGCATCCCAGCCACAGCTCCCCTGCCCCGCAGAGCAGGGAAAAAGGTGTTTCCAACCCAGGGAGAGGGACTCTACTCCCCGATCCGTCTCCTTATTTGTCCTTGGAGAAAGCTAAACCTCTCTTATATCTCAGGAAATACATAGAAACGGGCAGGGGGGGGAAGTTCCATTGAGAGAAAAACGACGGTCCCTCCCACAGCGGAGAATCGCTGCTTAAAAAAGAAAAGGAAGGAAAAAAACAGGGGACCCCAATGTCACCTCCTCCTCCGTCCTTCTGCGCTTAGTGGCATGCTAATGACTCATCCGTTACAGCTGAACTTGGGCCGCGAAGGACTGGGGCTCGCACTTCTGGAACGACTGACAGACCCCAGTGTCTCAGCCGCCACCTCCCTCCCAAGGCCGCTCCCCAGCAGCCCCGTTCTGGGCCGGGGTGCAGCAGCCCCCTGGGGGGTCGCGCTATGCCCGCCGGTCCCAGAGCGGGGAGATCACTTCCCCCCATACCCCGTATTTCCTGAAGCGAAGATGCCAACACTCCCGCGGAGATTTGCCCTACTCCCGGGCCCCAACCTTGGCTATCTCAGCCTAATGGCTCCTGCCCAAACTCTTGAGGACTAGCTGGACTATTGGCCATATTTCTTGTGAAAAATGGGCACAGTTGCTTGGAGAGAAAACACATTACACAGTTGCCCTAGAAAACACATCACAATCCCGAAATCGTCCTCGACGATGTCGGGAAGAGCCCGGTCCCCGCCTAAGGAGCCCACCGCTGCTCGGGAGCTCCGCACCAGCGCGTTTGTCACCTCGTGTCTCGTTCCACCGTATCCCATTGCTGAGGCTTCTGCAGCATATTGTGCATTACAAACAGGATCTGTAAGATTCGTAGGGATGTGATAATTAATTCAGCGAGGATGATGCTTAATATGGACTGGCCCGAAAGAAATGAGGTCTAACAGGAACGTGTGTGTGAAGGGGAGGGGGGAAGGCAGGAAGGGGGAGATGTTTAAAGTGTTTGAACGGTACGGCGAATGTTCAAAAGCTACGTTACATTTGCTTCCCGACCTCAAGAGCAGCTTGAAGCTTGGCATATGCTGCAGTTCCTTGCTCATCACCGACTATAACCGGGAAAGCCCGCCCTGCCTTACTAAAGGAAAAGCCTCTGCTCTGCACCATCACTCTTCCACCGCACCAGAGGACTTGACCTTGGCACAACTCTTTTCTCCAGCCGCTATCACGACAGACTCTGGCACTGCTCCAGTAAGGCTTAGGCTCCCATCTCGCAGGGAGCGACCCCCTGCCCCCTCCGGTCCCCTCACAGGCGCCCATCCCCGTGCCCTCTCTTGAGCCGAACCCCCGCGTCCGCGAACGACGTGGGGCTCTGCGAATGGGAGAGCGGCAGCCCACGTTTGGGCGCTCAGCCACGCAGGGGTACGGAGCTGGCGCGGGTCCAGCCCTTCTCGGTGTGCCATCCCCGCGCGGCACTGCAGCTTGGTCATATGAGCAGAAATGATGAGAAAAGCACTTTTTAATCTTTTCGCACTTGCCTCCCTGTTCAAACAGTTGCAGGATGGCTATGACTGACGTGCTCAACGCTGAGGATATCAAGAAGGCTGTGGGAGCCTTTTCAGGTGAGTACCTCTTTTTCTTTTCTTTATTTCCTCTTTTCTCCTCTTTCCCCTCTTCAGCTTCCGATAGCAGCACATTTCTTTAAACTTGGGGAAGATTAGAGGATATTTCTAAACAAAATACTAATCGAGGATGGTTTTCAGAAGTGCAGTGAAAGCCTATCACATTTATCAAGTCCAGGGCTGCATCCTCAGCAAAGTTGCCCTGCACGTTACAGAGGTGAAATACCTATTTCAAAGGAAGGTGAGCAGCAACTGCGGACAGGCTCCTACCGAGGGGATACTTTCAAAGGAAAAAAAAAACATCGGAAAACCAGACTGGATTATACCTTGTTGTGGGATAGGGAAGTGAGCCATGGATGCCGGCAGCTTCCCACTCACCCCTGAAATTGAGTGTCAGGTATAACAGAACTGCTGTTTCTCATTGCAAGGAGCTAAGAACTCGCTCTTTTCTTACGTCCTATGTGGGATCCCTGGGTGGGCTTTGCTTTTTGGGATGGAGCAGAAGGCAACGATAGAGAACTCACTACTCTACTGCAGAAGCTTTCTGCAGGACGAATGGCTGCCAGCCGTCCGTACTTGCCTCTCAGACTACTCCGGGTCCCGATATTCCCTACCCCTCTAATTCACCGCCAGCCCTGAGCCGACAGCAACCCCTCAGAGATTCAGCAGTCAAGGATGCTCTTAAAGCAACGCCAAAAATCGTGCTCCGGGATGCACGTTCTCTCTCCCTGTCCCTCCAAACTACCTGGCCGACCGCAGCACCGGGAGAGCCGCCTCCCTCCGTCCTGCCCTGTGCAGTGACCTTCCAGGGCGGACGGAGGCGCAAACCCAGCCGAGCCCGGCTGAGCGCAGCAGCCCGGAGTCTAAGGGACCGGCAAGCCGCTTTGCTCCATCCGGCAGCTGGTTTTCTCATTAGTTCCCATTGTTCTGAGGCCAGCTCCAAGTCCCGGAGCAGATGCAATTAGCAGCAACTAATGACAGGTCTCAGTCAAGCAGATCCCGAAGGACTGAGCCTCCTTCATTTTACGTAAGAGGAAAAGCTGCGTCCGGAATAAGGATGCATGGGGAAGAAGGAGGGGGAAAAAACAAACAACCCTCCGAAGCACGTTTTGGAGGTCACTGTACTGGGTTTCTAATCCACATCTTCCTAATCGCCAGCAGTCGTTAGGATACCCGTGTGGGACAAAAGCGGGTGCGGTTAAAGGACGGGAGAGGTGGTGCAGGTAAACTCGTTTATCTCGGCTCCGATTTCAAGGGCTCTGTTTGTTTGTTTTGATTCTTTTTTTGTCTCTTCCTCCCGGGAGATCGTTTCTGACACGGTCTCGCAGGCAGGATAGCGCACAGCACTCCCTTGCAGTGCCTGAGCTTACAAACCACCACTGCACATACCTTTAGCGGTCCAAAAGCAACACCGATTTCTGATAAGTCTTCAGGAAAAGCGAAACAGCCCTGAAATAGCCATGTGCTCTGTAACACTTCCCGTCAGTGCTCCATGGTTGAGCAAGAGTGGGTTTTTTTGTTTTAAAGGGTGGAAATGCCAAAAAGTGACAGCCATGTAATATCCAGAGACCGCTCTCAGATGACTGTTTTAGAATTAAACTTAGCAAAAAAAGAAAAAGGGGGTTAAGGCACTGATATGAGATCAAGCAGGGCAGACTTCAGCTCCCAACTCTACCACAGACTTCCTGTGTGACCTTGGGAAAAGTCTCCATCCCTGTGTAGCTCAGCTCTTCATCTGCAAAGAGCAGGCACTGTCCCTCTCCCCCTCTGTTTATTACAGTTAGCGTCTGTGAAGCATGGAGAATTGATTACAGGGTGTACATGGAGCTCCCACACAGTTGTGCTCAACTGTGCCTCCCAGGATAGGACACGCAGGAGTGTGGAAGGAAACCACTGGTATGTACTAATGTATGTCTCAATGGTTTTTCTAAGCAGCTCTCTGGCTTTTCATCTCCTATAGCTGCTGAATCGTTTAACTACAAGAAGTTTTTCGAGATGGTAGGACTGAAAAAGAAGAGCCCAGAAGATGTGAAGAAGGTTTTCCATATTCTTGATAAAGATCGAAGTGGCTTCATTGAAGAGGAGGAATTAAAGTAAGTCAAGATACGTCCTTTCTCAAATAGCCTCACCTTAAGTGTCTAATTTCCTGTTTTTTTTTTCTTTTTTTTTTTTTAAGACTCTAGATAATAGCATACAGTTCAATCTTCCAACTAGTATTTGTGTGCAATAATCTGTTGTTTGCTTACTATATGGTCTAAAGCATGTTGGAGATAGCTAGTTGTAACTTTTATGACTGATCAATACCTTATTGCTAGTTCTTCAGTCAAATGTAGTTTCGGAGCAAAGCACTTGCCCTGAACGTTAGAGAAGGTCAACACTGAATTCCAACTCACATATGAAATTGGTGGTACAAATAAATATGAAATGAAACTGTTCTGGGGAAAAAAAAAAACCGATCCACAACTTTCCTTTTTTTCCATGCCCCCTCTTTAGGTTTGTACTGAAGGGCTTTACCCCAGAGGGAAGAGACCTATCAGACAAAGAAACGAAGGCTCTTCTGGCTGCTGGAGATAAGGATGGTGACGGTAAAATTGGCGCTGATGGTATGTGATTAGAAGAGTAAACTTCGACAATAACAATGAAATATTACTCTTACATACAAGAGCTGAGGAAATCTGGGAATCACTGGGGGCTGTGACCTTCTGAAGGACACAAAATGGATTTAATGAAATACCAAGTCCTGCTACATTTGCCATCCCTTGCTTTAGGGAAAACAGGGGCTGAGTTCTGACACTAGAGGGGGCAACAGTTCATAGAAACCGAGATGTAGTTAAACCACAGCACCGGGCTAAGGACTGATGCAACTTCAGTGAGTTTAAGATTTCAAGTGGATTCAGGATCAGGACACTGGGAGTTCAAAGACCCAGGCTTGAATATAAAACTTCTAAAGAAAAACAGCTGAGTAGCAGCATTTCTGCTCGATGAAGAGTAAATAGGAAGGTAATGCACGACTTCACAAAGCAATGCTTTTAAAATTCAAAGGGCAGTCAGTCTGCTGAGGAATTTCCATCCAGCTTTGCCTCGTGTTTAAGTGGGTCTTCACAGCTAAGAAAGCTTGTCACTCCCTTTTACTAAATATGAGGAGTATAAGAAAAAACAACTTTTCCTTTTATAGCACTGCTTAAAAATGACTTTTCTATTACCCCTTGGGATGAATCAAATTAGCTCACATGCAAATTTTCTCCTTTTTTCTCTTTCTGTATTCCTGAGACACACTGGGAGAGACATGAAGAGATGAGTTTCTGAATTAAATTTTTCCTCATTGCAGGAGATAGCAGCAGAAGTCTGTGGCCAGGGTACTAAATCACCTAGACAGCAGGCAACTGCTGAGTTTTCACAATACTGATAAGCCACATGCTAGGTTGAAATCTAAAAAATACCTAAACCACTCCTATCTCTCTCTGTCACCCAGTCTCTGGGATTTGTAAAAAAAAAAAGTTGTCGCAATAAAAAAAACCCAAACAATTAAAAAAAAGGAATAAAAAGCAAAATATGATTAACTAACATAGTTTCCTTACTCAGAAGCTGAAAAAAATGACATACAAAATCAGCCACTGACATATTAGTCATACATATCTGCCTGTTTGTAGCACCTTGACATACCAGTGACTATGGTCCTTTTTCTAGACAAAAGCCTTTGATTTCTCAGATCATGATCCTATCATGGTCACAGAAGGGCAATTGTGAAGCACCTAGGGGAAGTTCCGGCTAAACTTCAGAAGTGTTACTGAACCTGATGAGTGTGTCACCATTTGAAATTTCACATGCTTAAATTATATGGGTCCTCCTTATTCCCATTAAATTAGTGGCAGTGGTACTAAAATCAGTGGGCGAGATTTTTCAGAAGAAAACTTGGCTCAGGTAAGTAAGGTTAGAGCTGATCCCCCCAACCTCACATCACATATATTTTCAGTTATTCCCGGAAGGCTGCAAAACAAAAGCAGTATTGATTGGAATACAAGGACTACATTGCAGAATGATTTTGGCTTTTACAAGAGTCCCTGCCCATGGCAGGGGGGTTGGAACTAGATGATCTTAAGGTCCTTTCCAACCCTAACTATTCTATGATTCTATAATACAGCATTAACATTTTTATTTAAGATTGACCATAACTTTTAAAAGTTGAAACAGTGCCTGAAAGCCAGTACATTGTAATAAGCAATACGAAACACTTCTCTTTCTTCTGCAAGTTTTACCCTTCCTTAACTTTGAACTGGAATTACACTGAATTTATAATCAATAATGAGAAGAGAATGAAAGGCTTCTTTTATTTGCCTCTTCTGGCCTGGTACATAGCCCTACTGTACAACATCATTGGTTTTTTTTCCATTTCTTAAATTTGACTTTAACAGGAAATTGTGACACTGGAAAGGCTTGAAATACATGCAAAAAATCACAGCTGGGGCTATGACCAAAGGATGAGGATGACAGACATTTTCCAGCTTTTCCTTTGGTTCAGAAATCCAATTCCAGATTATAATTGCTTATGTAACTAAAATCTAAAGTCACAAATGTACGTCACATTTATATTCAGTATTGCAATGCTGTATTTCTGTTGCGAGCCATTTGTTTGCTTCCCTGTAACTGAATTGTCAGGCATCACTTTTACCCCTTCTTTCAAACATCAGCTTCCTACATCACTAAATTATTACAACCTAAATGATGCAGCCTTTCACAGGGATTAATGTTAATTCACTAGATGGCCCTTGAATGCCCATATGGAGCACCCCTCAAGAGCCCATAGCAGTTGTAAAACCTAATCTTTATGGATTTTTAACACAGAGCCATCTTTCTCAGACTTTTCTTCACAAATGTTAATCCCAACCTAATCAGACTTCTTCCAGTTAGGGTTACATGTTACAAATTGTCTCTCAGGTCTCCGGCTTTAAACCTTTTATCATTCCTGCAAGACCATTCAGCTCAGAAACGGTTTCTTAAGGTTACCTCCTGTCCAGTCAAGATTTGTAATTTGTGGCTGATCTTCAAACAGTTGAAAACTTGCAGCCTGTTCATATAAGACATCATCTTCTGTCTGATGTTAAGACCTTTTCATCTTTCACTGATATGAACAAAAGATGACAAATGTGAAAGAAAAAAAAAAAAAGGTCAAGGCCAAGTTACCTAAGAAAACTACAAACATTAGCTTCTAGATTAGCTTGGGAAGCAATGCTGAAGCTGCTCTCTCAGCTTCTGGAGAACATTTGTAAGGAAGAAGTGAAAATGATCATAGTGGGTTTTTTAATCTATTTTGTGTGTCAGCAGTGGACATGCACATCATGCCTTTCTGTTTCTTGCTACTAATAGACTTGAGAAAGTACATAAATAATTTTCAAAGTTCATGCACTGTAGACAGAACAAGTCCACATTTTTATCCTAGTAAATCAAAATATTTTCCTTGATACAGCTCAACTTCTGCAAATATTTCAAAATATTTCAATTATTTTCTTTAAACACTGTAAAAATGAGACATCGAGCATTCAGAATTACAGCTGGCAAGTCGTTACCTTGCAACAGGTAAAAGACATAACTAAGAAGAAAAAGCTTTTGAAAGTCCTTTTGTTATCCCCCTTTGTGCCCCTGTTTCTTCTAAAATAAATTAGTGTTAAGTCATTACTTATGAATTTTGCTAAACAGATTTGCTATTATACCGATAATGTAAAAAACATGATCTGATGAGAGAAATCATTAGCCTACAACATGTACTCTGTAATTATAGCTGTCATTTCAGTAAAATACTACAGGGTATGCATCAGGCTGGTATAGGTTACTGAACTATATTGAACACCGCAAAAGAATCCTCTTGTTTTATGTTGGAGCTTTGACATAAGACAGCTAGTAAATTATTTTACATGACAAAATAGTCTAAATCCTTGCAATTTAAAAGTATCAGTTGTGCAAAGAAAGATAGAACTTAATTTTGTTTGGAAGGAGAATTACAACTGGAAAGGAGGATGCAGTCTATCCCAAGGATTCTCTCCCTTGTCAGAGGCAGTAAATATTTACAAGAACAGCCAATAGGCAGGGGTTAATATACAGTGTCATATCTCAGAATATATACTTTCCATATACGAGTACACTTGGTAACAATGCCTCCACAAGCCATCTGTGGTTGGGCTAACCTTTATATGAAAACCAATAGTGAACTACTTTACAAGATTGTTCAACTGGAACACCTTTGAAATACCTCAAGTATATTGAAAAACCTGGGAAAACTTTAAAGCAGATAGCAGTTATTCATGAAGGAGTATTTTATGGTTTGCTGGCCATCAAGAAGTACCCATGAAATATATTGCCATTAAGTGATAATATCACTATCATAATGTATTACAGAAAATATTTGGCTGCAAGCCTGAATAACCTTTTCCAAATATATTCCATAGATGCAAAAATTATTATAAAAAAGGATTTAATTCAGCTGTAGCAAGTACGACAGCTTGTTCTAATAGAATATGTGTAGTTAGTTTTCCCTTTTGGAAAGGCTTCATCCGTTGCAGTTCATGGTTCTCTCTGCAGGATTTATTCACACAGTGATTTAATAATCATAGCCTGTTTCCTTTTCTGGGCAGAACAGTCTGGGTTTCTATCACAAGCACTTTATGTTATCTCTTAAATTCAGTTTGCAACATTTGCGATCTCTGTACCCACCGTGTACAGGATTTAGACACTTTTTGTGTTAAGTAATCTGCATCACTAATCCTAACTTGGATTTACATCTTTCAAAATGATGGATAGATTTGGATTTAATTTAAACCCACTGACATTTTCATGTCTTACTCTGGTTTGTCAGCATTTGGCAACACGATTTTTGGACACAACATCATCAAAAATGCTACCAGTTTGCACACACCAGTCAGTGAAGATCTCACTTGTTTAGAGTTTAGCATTTTTCAACTGAACATTAGAATGTTCTTCAAATGCCTAATTTTCATTTTCTATCTTTTTTAGTTGCAAGACATTCTTCATTACGTCAAACTTCAATAATTTTCTTTTGAGCATTTACAGATGACTGCCTCCCCTATTTGTCACATTCCTCTCAGCTGATTATGTTAGACCCATAAACCACTCTCTCTGTATACCCTCTAATCCCTTTATCATCTTTGTTGCCCTTCTTGGGATTCCCTCCAGTCTGTCATTTTTCAAGCTCTGAGCACACAAAACTGTGCAAGGTATTCTCATGTGTGACTGTTCCAAGGTTAGATGGAGTTAGGAATTATAACCTCCTTGAGTAATGCAGTATTCAGAGTGTGGTATGCCAGGCAGCTATTCACCAGGACACAAACATGCCTTTTCCATGCTTTAGCACCCCGATGAAAAGCACTACATATATACACCAAAGCATAAAATAAACTCAAACTGCAGATAGATATATGTATGTACATATTATTGATGTAACACTAATAAAAGCCACAGAGTAAAATCCTGTCCCTCTGAGATCACAAGAATTTTTCTCATTATCACCAGTGTGGTCAAAATGGGTTGGTGTAAGCTTCTGTTTTTGTAATCTGTCATTTCCAGTCAATTTGCCAGTACAAAATTGAATTTAAATGCAATATATTTATAATATAGGGACACAAATACTATGAAAGACTTGTTAATGAGTCTCTTTGCCAAACTCTGATATAAAGGAAATTTATCTCCCTGTGAAATTAAATTTCTAGCTCTTGCCTTCATCCCATTGAGATTTACAAAGGAATAACAGGGAGCTAATCAAGTTCTTCAGATGAACAGCAGTGGACAGTCTTGACAGTCTGGCATGTATAGCATTTCTCTCTTACCCTTAACAAATCCTTTCATTTCACTGTAAGATTTCCCAAGTCATACTTTCCCTTAAACTAACCAGGATTTCTTTGTTCTTCTGTTATTGTGATGTTTCTGCTACACCACTGACTCTGTAATCATTGTAATATGCTTTCTCCTTCTTTAAATTTTCTTTTTTTAATATTTTTTTTTAAATGTTTCCCTTCTCCAGAATTTGCAACTATGGTGGCTGAATTATAAAGGCTTTGACCAATGCAAACCCTTCACCCATCCTTCACTGCCCAATTCCAACCACCTCCTGCTGGCTGCTTTGGCTCCTGTTCTATTTATTTATGTTATTTTATACTCCAGCTCTGTTCTCTGCAATCCTGCAACTCTGTAATTGTGCTGAAAGACACTGTTAAAATAATAAAGGTCACATCAATCTGGGCTTTATTCTCTCTCACTATAACTTGTTTCTTATTTCATGTAGGTTTGGCACATGCTGAGAGAAAATTTTACTCTTTTTTGCTGACATCCCTGCGGCTTTATCCCTTGCTAGGGTAAAGTAGGAAGAACTAAAAGCCAATTTTTGGGATAAAACATGCATATAATGAGTCATTCAGCCCAAATTCTGAACTCTGGCAAAACTGACTGCATTATTTTTAAGCCATCCCTGCTAAATGGATGCATACTCATAGCCTGGAAAATCTCTAGTGATGGAAAATCTCTAGTGATGGCAATTACCCAACTTCATTTGGCAGTTTGTTCTTTCGACTTAATCAGTGTTATAGCTAAAAAGTATTTCCTAATATTTAACCTACATCTCCCATGCTGCATTTTGGTGATCAGTAAATTGATCCTTGTCTGTATCATTTGTTAAATTTGCCTGGTGCAGGGGGATTTTTGGATAAAAGGTCTGACAGCAATATCAGTTGATGCCAATCATGCATGAGGATAACTCTGTAAAGTATTAAAAAGCAGTCATTTCTGAAACACAGGATATGCTTACTATCAATGTTACACAACTATCTAGGACAGGAAGAACAGAATACTCAAAAGAATAACAGCATGAATATCGGGGGGGGACACCAAGATTCAGGTGTGATGTTGCTGTTGATACTCTCACTGTTAAAATAGTATATAAAAATCCCATCAAAAACATTTCTTCAAATACTTTACCAAAGAAGTGAATATCTTTTCCTTTGAGTTACACACACAAAACTGAGACTCTAGCTAAGGAAATGACTAGCCAACAGTAAACCTATGACAGAGCCAAGAGCAAGACACTTGTATCCCAAATCCTGTCTAGTAACTTTGGCACCAAGCTCATGCTTTCAATCTTTATTTTAACATCTTCCCCACACCTTGACAGAACATTGATTACTACTGCAAGAAAAAGGAGGGGTAGTTGCCATTTCTAGGTTCCAAACTATTCCCCTGCAGCAATAATACCTTATTCCATTCAGATTTATTATCGCTAATTTAGTATTTAAAATTTAAAAGAAAATAGCGCTGAAACCCTGTCACCATCACGTTGTACAGAATAGTATTCTCTGCCACAGCAATTACCCAATGCTACTCGGGAAGCCAATAAACACTCCCTAAAGCTGTTCTAAATTTTCACTCTGTAGTAACTCACAAGGAAGACTTTCTTTGCTAAAGCTGCTGTGCTTTCAAAAGAACTCCTTTGGTTTTGCACAATGTATATACGGATCTGAAGAGTGTATTGATTTCTAAGTATTCTAAATAAAGCAAATGAAAACGGACTGCAATGAAGCGATTTATTGCCTGGTTTGTTGTTTGGGTTGTTTTTTTTTTTTCTCTCGGCAGCTGCTGACCTCACGTGGCAGTAAAGCGTAATTACAACAGTATACTGGGCTACAGGAAATAAAACCATTAGGAACCCACCCATTGACGTATCATGAATCATAGAACCCTAGATTCATAGAATGGTTTGGGTTGGAAAGGACTTTAAGATCACCTAGTTCCAACCCCCTGCCATGGGCAGGGGCATCTCACACTAGAACAGGGATGGAGCATTTACCACTTCTTTGGGCAACCCATTCCAGTGCCTCACCACCGTCACAATAAAGAACTTCTTCCTTATACTTAACCTGAACTTCCCCTGTTTCAGTTTGAACCCATTCCCCCTTTCCTATCACTACAGTCCCTGATGAAGAGTCCCTCTCTGCATCCTTGTAGGCTGTTCTGAGGTCTCCATGCAGCTTCCCTTCTCCAGCCTGATCAATCCCAACTTTCTCAGCCTGTCTTCATGCACAAGGTGCTCCAGCCCATGGAATCAACCTAAAAATTGCTATATAAAGAAAGGCTTTTATAGTCTCTTTCTAGTCTTTGAATCTGCAAGGATTTATATTTTAATTCTTCACTAGATAGCATGCAAGCTGTATTTTTACAACAACAAAAGCACAATAAGAAGAAAAAGCAAGCAAGAAAACCCCCACTGCCATTAATGAGTCTAAATTATATTTTTTTTATAGTATATTAGGTGAAATCAATAAGTTATAGCAACATTAACAGGGATATTTTACTGTCATAAAAGTCCGAAGACCCCAACAATTCCCTTATCAGTCTTTCTTCATGTTATTCCCTCAGTCATTCCAGAAAAAGCAACACTGAGTGACCAATCTGGCCTGAAATTTTTCAGCTCTATAGGAATGGATAAGATGAAAAGAAATATCCTTTAATTTCAAACTAAAAAAGTTAAAATGGGTAGAAAGACCTTCAAAATATCATTGTTACTTTTCATGGTAAGAGTACCTGACATTCTAAACAAGCATTTGCTCAGTTTATTCAAATATGCAACCGCTATATGTTTGAATTTTCTCATGCATAAGCAAGGGTGCAAATAGCTCCTTCAATGAACATTAACCTTACATTTCTTAATTGGCATCTTACATCTTTTTTTTCCTGAACAGAAAATATTCCATATTTTTTCCCCATTATAATAGAAGTTATGAAAAAAACCCAACTCCAGCCATCATGTTGATGACAAATTATCAATACACATCCTTCCCTTAGATTCATTGCCAAGGGTTTGTAACAAGACACAACTTGATGATTTAAGATATGGAAGTTATGTTTACTCGTATGAAAAAATACACTTGTTCTCATTGGTATTACATATTGCTAGGAAAGAAACTCAGATTGCTCTCAGCTATACCTCAAAAACAAGAGACAAATCCTCATGTCATAGGCAAACCATCATTTCCTGACAAATGACACCAGCATTTTAAGAAAGGGTTTGTACCAACAGACCATCACCAATGCTTAAAATTTCTCCAATCACCATTTACCATCATCAAACAATCAAAAAAAATCGTAATTGTTTATTCTTTAAGGGTCCTGCCAAGCTCTTAATGGAGTTTCATGGATCAGCAGTTTTCCACATGTCTTATTTTGGGAATCAATGGACTGGAGGCTGTAACACCTGTTCACTTTGCAGAAGCTGAGCTAGGATTTATATTTACAGTCTACCCACCAGCCCTGAGCTCAATACTGCCCAATGTTCTATGATTGCTCCCACACTTCATTCACTTCGTCAAAGCAAAGCTTGCTTGTTTTCTTCTGTTGCCTTTTTTGACTTTGCATCTTTGGGGGAGGAGGGAAGTAAAGACACTTCTGCCTCATTTCTAAATACTTCTGAAGACTGGAAATGCAGTTCATGTGCTCCTTTCCAACAACACACAGATAATTTGTCAAAGCCTCTGTGCTATAGGATCTAAATATTAACAATACTCTGTCCAAACCAGAGTTAATATTGTTCTGGAATTAAAAACTGTGGCATTGCACACATTTGCAACAAGTTTTGACTCACCAAAATAACATCCAAGATTATGAATTTATACAAGGTTCAATGAATCCACAAATTAGCCCACAAAATTTGTGTTAATGAGCATAAAACATAAAAGAACTTGACTCTATAATCTCAGATTGACATTTAAAGTGGTCAATTTCTCTTTCATTTGTCATTCTTTTATTTATAAATGAATTGCAAATGAAAGAGAAATTTATATCATTCATATAAATGAATTTGCAAATGAAAGAGAAACTTATTTATATAGAAATTTCTATGGCATGTGTTAACACACCAAAATTCAGCTATGATTAAAGCATATGCTGGTATTCTTGTTCTAACACCACCCAGGGCCATGGGTAACACAGGTACCAGAGCACAGGCTTTAGCAAATGTCAGTGATTAAAATACCTCCCCATGTGCTGGACTCTGTCCTTGCTAATGATGTGCTTGAACCTGAACTGCTGCACCTTCATTCTGACAAAGCATTTTAGCAGATTCCCTTTTCCTGAGAAGCACACCTTTAGAAATCCCAACATTCTCTGGACCTCCAACATTCAAAACGACTTTTCTCCTAATAAAGAGGTAGTGAAGCCAAATGTGCCTAAAGGGGGTTAGGTGTATGCATGAAAGGTCAATTGTCAAAACTTTCCCAGACTGGAGGATCTCCTAATGTAAGAGAATTACTCCACAAAGAGGAAGTGCATTTGTGGTCAGTGTTCTTATGGTCAAAGAAGTAACAAAGTTTAACAGAGGTTCATACACTTCTAAAGACAGAAGTTAACATAAACACAAATACTAGAGTCCCTTCTGGAGAGGGACTGTAGCAATAGGACAAGGGGGAATGGGTTCAAACTGAAACAGGAGAAGTTCAGGTTAGGTGTAAGGAAGAAGTTCTTTACTGTGAGGGTGGCGAGGCACTGGAATGGGTTGCCCAAAGAAGTGGTAAAATGGCATTCCTGGCAGTGTTCAAGGCCAGGTGGGACACAGCCTTGGGTGACACGGTCTAGCGTGAAGTGACCCTGCCCGTGGCAGGGGGTTGGAACTAAAAAATCTTAAGGTCCTTTCCAACCCAAAGCATTCTGTGGGTCTATGATTCTGTGATTCTCCATCTACCACAAAAAAACAGGAAGGACTGCAACAGCTATGACAATAAATGGATCAGAAGAGCCAGATAAAAATACTGGAAGGCACTTACTAAAGCCCATGGAACATGCAGCTAGAAAAGGTATTTCCTTCATAAATTCTTTTGGCTTTCCACCCAGGAAAAACCCAATGAAAGCATCTTGTCAAGTGTCTGAATCAGAATGTCCAGCTCTTACTGCAACAACAGTTATTAATTCTAGGAGATGCTCACTAAGCAAGTAATGATTTATGTACAAAACTGCAGTCAGTTTCCCTGGTGTTACGGTGGCACCACGCTGGCATTACAAATGGGTACTTGGGCCTTCAAGTGGTAAGAACACGGTAACTCTCTGTTAATTCCAGCTTTGCCCCTAGAGCTTCTTGACAGGTCATTAAGAATCACAGGACCAGAGGACAAATGCTTAACCATTGATTACTGGAGGGAATGTCCATGGGTTTCTGAAAACCCAAATGCTTCAGAGGCATTTTCAGGTTTTGGAAACGTTGCCTGGAAGGTTTTTTAGAATTCTATCATTTTAACCATAAACAAACTCCATTTGCTGTATCTTCAGAATGCAGTGCAGTTGAACAAAATGTATCACTAGAATGATACAAAAATATATAGGTAATAGCAAATTATCAAGCACTTCTTACTGCTTTAATATAAAGAGGCATAAGAATTATTTGGCTCTGCTAATTTTATGCTTCCTTCTGCAGATGAATAAAGATTTTCTGTCTTAAAACATTTGCATTCCCCCCCCCTTAAAGTAATTTTCAATTTTGCTGGATACAGCACAATCGCATCTACTCTTTCAGCTGCAGTGGGCTGTTGAAATTGAGCTATTGCCCAGCACCTGCTCTTAGTCAGACAGCTGAAATCAGAGGTTAGGGGAAAAAATAAAGATTTTATGTCATTGTAATGCAAGTCTCCTTTTAGCTTTGCTGCAGTCAGTGTTCAATTACGTTCTGTAACAATCGCCATTACCAGAGCCAGTGCTTTTCTGTTCCCCTCTGCATGTATTAACTTTCTTGTTCACATGTGATAGCCTTCTTAGCAAAGCAGAGGAGCCTTAAGAGACATGCCCACAGATTTAATGAGCCTACATCTTTTTTGGCCTGTTGAGGATCCTAGTGTTCAAAAAAAAATCTTCATTTTGAATGCTCTGAAGGAACATAATTGATACCATAGAACTTAAA